CGCTCATCAGCCTGGAAGAGATAAATGAGTTACTAGTCTTGCAGACTACCAGGACCACTCGCAAAATCAGCAGGAGTATCTTGAAGATACTGTCCAGAGAATTCTTTGAGAATGCCACTGTCACTTTAACTTTCAGATTTAACTTAGGTTGATTAAGATTAGATTTAGATTCATCTTTAGATTTATTTTTTAGATTCATATTGTCTCTGCAAATCAGAGGCAACTGACTGATCAAAAGCAGCCAGTCTGTTTACTCAGAGCAGCTGTTGTTGTTTGTCACTTCCTTTCTCAAAATGTAGCAAAAAATTTACAGCATAATCCAACAGATAAATGTGTTCCCTTGTAGAAATTAGGAATGCATACTTAACAGGAAGCCCCAAGGCAAGGGGAGAAAACTGCTTTCACTGGCCTTTTTATTGTGAATTCTTAGTAGCCAGAGGTGTTTGCCAAAACGTAATAATGTTTGAATGTACATGGGAGCTATGAGCAGGACAGAAGCTATAAGAAAATAAAGAAACATTGTGTGAGATTTAAGATTTAAATTTAAGGTGTGGTAAGCTTCCAACTAACCTCTTAAATTTTATAGTCTAGGGCTGATGTCAAGCAAAGAGCAGCCTACAAAACTTTGCTATTAACTATACTTTGACTCCCCATCTCATCCTTCACAACATTTCAAACTACCAGGATTTCTCCCCTCCTAACACTGACATGAGTGCCCACTTACAACATCTGGAATGACAGAACTCCGAGACCTCATCTGCCCTCAATAATGTGTCAGTAGACAGCTATCTCAAGATCTCTCAAAAGACTTGTAATTCACTTTATCAATACAAAATTCCTATAAATACTTACAGAGATACGGGAGCCAGCTCTTGCCCTTGCTACAGTCTCTTTTTCCTTCTCTGACACTCGCCTCTGTATTGCCTGGAATTTATTTAAGGCCGCGGAGAAGTCATTCATTAAACGTTCTTTCTGAAGTCTCTGTTGGCGCTAAAGAATTGGAACAAGTGTTCAGATATTCCCATTCATGATAATGTAACTGTCAGACTCAAGAAAACCGTCATTATAACAACAACAACAAATGCTGGCATTCAAGTTATCTTTTGGTTCCAGCATTCTGGGAGAGAACAAAAAGCCCACCATATTTTAATTCATTATACCAAATGCTCTACGCCTTGCCTATTGCAGAACAGTTTTGTGCAGTAAGGTTCTCTAATTTTAATCTAGTTTTAAGTCTGAAGTAGAGACATCTTCTACACCATTACTTTTATTCAAAACATTCCAGTAAGCTACCACATTTAATTACATACCTTTTGGATATCTACAATGCCTTTACCATCCTTTCCTCAACTTAGCCAACCTGGTAATACTTAACTTTCTCTTGTCCTGAGAGGGCAGCCCCCTTTCTTCCAACTATAGGAAGCCCCACACTTCCAGAACCAATGACAAGACCCATTACCTCGGTTTCATAAGCTGTCTCTCCCAGCCAGGCCACACTACAAGCCTGCTGTTATTTGATCAGGGAATAGTCTTAGTCCTGTAACCATTTCAGTTTATTTTTTCTCCAAATACATCAGTTGTAATATTCCCTTCCATCCTTGTTTCACAGTATCAACCTATTATCCTCCACAGAACATCTCCTTTGAGTGTTGTGACATCCCAGTTATAGGAAACAAAAAGTTGAGAAAAAGCTTGTCCCAAGGACACTCAGTACTCTGGTCACTTCTTATGTTTTCCATTAGAGACAGTGTCCCAACAGCTGTCTCAAACTACAGGCTTTCCAGTATTGTAATCCTTCAACATATTTGTATTAATTCAACACCCATTTCAACAAAATAAATGTTTTCAATTATTTTTTTCTATAGTAAGCCACTACAGCAGCCTCACAGTACACTGCAACTTCCATCAGAGCTGTCTGGAAGCAACAACCCTTCTGCCAGAGGAGATCCTCAGCATGTTGATGCCAGCTCCCGCAGATTTTGACTGCACTGCTCTAACAGGCTTCAGAAGTCACTGCTGCATTCAGTGAGATGCACATGACAGGATTTTGCTCAACCAGAGGCAGATTAACTGAAAAATATTTGCTGAACAAACAGGCAAAACGTGGCCATTCTTACAACTGGCATATAAACCTTTAAATACAGAATTAGACTAAGACAACATCTGCTGACCCATACCCACAGATCATTCCACAACAGTATCACAAGAGCAGATATGTCAATATTGTGGTAGTGATTTAAAGTAGAGCAAGAAAATGCCAACAGCAGAGGACTGTCCCTTCCCTTTCCCATAGGGAGGGGGAACTCGAAGGACATTTGGCAAGAGATAAAGTCATAATCATTGCCTCACTGTATTTTGCTTTATTCAAATATGAGCAAGGTGAATCAGCTTTCCCCCCCTCAGCTAACAAATCACAAGGGAAAGCTTTTTGGCATGATCACATTTCATACTGACACGCAGTTTGCTGTGAGTTCTTATCCTAAAACACTGCCTCGCATCACCAGGCACTTTGTAAACAAGATTATTTTTCAGAAATTCAGTCAGAAAAATAGAGTTGCATACTCAGTTCCCCCAAAACATTTAGGGCTTCTCATTCTCATGTGAGTAAGTTGTATACCTATTTGCCACTGGGAAGCATTGTTTTTCTAGTATCATATAAGCAGCCATGATGTAGCCACTTTAATGTGTTTCCTTACTTCCACAACATTCTTCATTGCAAAAGCCTGCTGTCTCTTCAGCTGTGCCAATTCAAGCTTTGTGAGGCTGTGGTCTAAGCTAGTTTCATGAAATGAGTGATTTAAAAATATGTCCAGACAAATTCTGCATGCCTACCTGTTCAGAAGCAGATAAAGGAAGTGGTAGAGAACCCAACTCCTTTAGATATTCATTGGTCTCTTTGGCAAGGCAGTTTGCAGAATGCTGTAGCTGTTGTCTGAAATAAAAGTTCAAAAGCAGTTACACAAGCTTCTACCCAAAAAAGCAGTCTCCTAGCAGTTCAGTTTCCAAAATAACGACCAAGTAGGGGTTCTGAGATCACACATCTTTATGGTGTGGTTTTGGTGGGTTTTTCCTCCCTAATGGAACAGAGATGTACTTTCAGCTTTTACAATCAACTTGACTCTGGACTATGTTTTAAAAAAAAGAGTCAAAGAAGTTCTGTGGTCCCTGCTAACTGGTATAATTCAGTAGTTTTAAAAAGATACTTTTCTCCAATGGCATAAGAGAGAAATTCAAGGGAGAGACAACTTTATTCAAGTTTACTTTTAGGACAAATTCATTGTGGTACCAATCAATAACTAACTGTTCACTGACAACCACCAACTCCATTGGCTAAATGTACATTTGATAACAGTACAGAGACTCAGAGATATTAAATCCTTACATTTTTGTGAAAATTAGTGGTCAGAGAGAAGAATGATCCAGCTTCTACTTTGGGAAATGCAAGGCTTTCCCTTGAGCCTTTATGTTTTCCAACAACATTGCAATTCAATGCTATTGTTGCAAAGGATCTAGTGCAGCAGCACCTTCATTAGTACCACAAAACAGAAAGACATTAGTTACTTTGAACTTAATGTAAAGACATCATCCTGTACATCAAATACAGGATTTTATTAGATCCAATACAGCAGTTTATTAGAAGAATGTTAGTCCTTCACAGAGAACAGAACCTCAAGTGGTTTTTTTGCTATAAACCAGGAAGACACAAAATACTAAAACAAGAACCAATTTTTTTGGCATTCAATGGCTACAAGATGCTTAAGTGAAAGTCACCTATTCAGCTCCACAGATACACAAATCAAAGTATTCAGGCTGCATTATTGTATAAGTTGACCTGCAAAACATGAGCTGAATAGACCACCCATGCATTTTTGTATTAAACTTGTATGGCAGCTGACAATTTGTGGAGTGAAACCACTCTCACCTTAAAGAGGAGGACCATTTCTACAATGAAATTAAATAAAAAGACATTTGTTTGGTCACCAGTGATTAGCTCTTTAATCTACCGACTCAATACAGATTGACTCAACTGAGCAACCCAGACAAATTCCTTTCTCTCCCAGCTGGGCTCTGATGTCATCCTTCAAGTGTAGTGTATGCAGCTATTGCCACAAGTTACAAACTTATCAAAAGAAAAATCAGCTATTATAAAAAAAATGGGGAAGTTGCATGTTCAGACATTCAAGGTACAGTCACATGAAGAAATAATGGAAGAACTTACTTTCAAGTTTTCTTTTACGACTCCTGAAATTATTCTTCCCATAACTTGCTATTTACAAGTTTGTAAAAGACATACAGACTCCCTGTTCAGTCTCTCTAGGAGCCAGTTTGGACCATGCCTGTTTAAATGTCTTCTATATTGTCCTCCACTGGCATATTATTCTTCTGAAATTACATGTGGCATTTTAACTGCCATGCAGGATTGCTAATCTTTCTAGTGTCTAAATCCATCAGTACTACAAGCTACTTTTTCATCAGTTATGGGTATTCCTTGCTGGTTTTCCTTATTGTTTTTATGTGAGGACCAAGTACCTAGTATGGCATTCATTTCTTGTAAACCACAAATGGACTATGGCTAGTCCTCAGAGTACAGCTAATGCGTGGCTGATGTACTGCTCCCCTTAAATCATAATAAACTATACAATTTCTAACCATTCCTATCCAGCAGTTTTGAATGGCTTCTCCAGAGTCCTGCAGAAACACCTTAATTCATCCAGTAAACTACTTAACGCAGCTAGTCATTTTTGGTTTGTAGGACTGTATAAAGTTTATCAAATAAAGCATCTCCCCAAAGCAAGTAACCCAGTTCCTCTAAGAACGCACAAAGAAATGAAAGAGAACCTATACAAATGACAGCTCATTTAAAACTTACAAGTTCTCCTGAAGCTTGCTGGAATCCTGCTTGGTTCCCAGCTGGCTCATCAAATTCTTTATCTGAGCAGCTGCAGATAGAGAGATCACAAGATAAGTTAGTAAGACAAATTCTAGTGTATTTTATTCCTTCCTGAATGTATTCTTCTAGCTTTCCCCAAAAGGATTTCTCTTAACTTACATTCTTTGCTTTAAATGCAAAGTGTATTTTAAACATTCCCATTTAGATGTGATCCAGCCTAACAGACTAACTTTCAGATAAGAGAGTGATAGCGAGGCATACATACTCTGAAGACAAGTCTGTGGAGCTATAAGCTTGTGCACTCCTTTTCCTCAGCCTTTTTAGACCAACTAATATAGCTATTTGTTTCTGTCAGCCTTGCCATTTGTATATTTTAGGCTATCACTGCTGCAGAACAACTTTGCTATGCTGTTACTTTTTAAGTAACTCTAAAGTTACTTAAATTATTAGTGCTCTGTTAAAAATAAAATGAGTAAGAAAAAGCCAAGGGTTGCTATTAATTAAGAAAAAAATCTGTTTGTTTTTTTTCTGATGATAGCCCAAACCTTTCACAATACTGGCACAAACAATCTTTCAAGAACGGCAGATAGCAACGGTATACTTCACGGTGAGCTTGCATCAATTTGATATCATGTTGTCGCAAGAAGAGGTATCCTTGCCCTCTTCCTCCCTATCTCCTATGTTTTTCCACTGTTTTCCTTCTGTAGGCACTAGCAATCATGCAATTACACAATGAATCACATCAAACCACTAACCTACCTGAAAAGCAAATACCATCTTCTCTCCCCACTCCCTCTACCTTAGAAGATTATTTTTTGACAGATCAGCTATCTGATCCACTTTATTCCACAGCTGCACAATTTTTAGCATTACTAAATATGCTGGGTACACCACTTGAGCCAATCAAACTTTGTACTGCTGTCATAAGTCAATCTTGAAATCATATGCTATCCCATCCAGCACTGAAAGAGGCAAGAGCAAGGAGGATTAATTTAATAGAGTTCCACAGGCAACTGAACTGAGTTGAAATACCCCACGAGTTTAACAAGAGCTACTTCCAATTCAGTGACTTCCTACTGGTGTAATTTCTGCTTTCAGCTTAGAGCAAGCCACTTCAGTTGATTAAACATGTTGCTGAAGAAACATCAGACTCCTACAACAGCCACTTCTTTTAAAGCAATATCCAATGGCTTATAGCAATGGCAGCTCAACTACAGCTGCAATATAATTTAATCAGTAATTGGGCAAGTATTCTAGCTTTTGCATCCAAGGAGAGTATTCTCACTGAGAATTCTAGACTTCTGTTAGCTCATGCAGTGAGGAGTTGTTCAGCAACTTCTCATACACTCAGTTGAACATGGCTTCTAGCAAGCAAGACTGCACATATGTCACAGCTCTGTCAGCTGCAAAAAGGTCAGAAAAGTTCATAGTCAAGTTAAACTGACAAACAGACTATACTCCATGTGTGGATATCAAGGACTTTACAAATGGCATTTGCACTATAACATCTAGGTACTCTGCGATGTATTTTTTCCTCCACTGGGGGAGATTCTTGTGCAAGTTCCATTTCCACGCCAGGCAATTTGTTTTTTGTCCTGGTCTGAGCCAGTTTCAGCAGCTTGTTATGCTTTGTTTATCTCAGCCAACAGCCACACACAGAGCCTACACCAAATGAGAGCAAAGTGTTTGGGAGGCCAAAGGAAGGGGTTGGAGATCTTTACCTTTATTTTTTGGTTAGTGAGTACACAGAGAGCCCCCTCAGTCAATAGCTTTCAGTCTCCAAACCCTTTCAATTTTAGGCTGTAAAGCTTTACACATACTGACTATTTTACACTTAAGATTACTTAAAACATTTCAATCTCTGCTCTAGATGCTTAGATAACACAACAGTCTTGGAAGCAACAGTTTTGCCAGTTCTCTGTACGTTTTATACGAAATGCTAACTCTACAGAGTTTCCCAAAAGGAGTGAATAACTCTGTCCACTGTTTGCTTGCTTTTTTCCTTACAGGGAATGAAAGGAGAAACAAGTACAGGCTTAAAGCTTCAATATCTCTTCTCCTAGTGTTGAATGGAAAGCTTTTATAAGATATGTAACAAAGTTAATTACCATAACGTTAAGTCAGATTGATAAAAACTGTAAGGCTATTTGTTTCATTTGAGATAGGCAGCACACTGAGAATAGGATGGCTGCTGGTCATGAGACAGTAGAAGCTTGTCCTACGAGAAAGAGAAGCTGAACTACTTTGAAGGGGAGGCTCACGGAAGTCCCACAGAAGGCGGGGGGGGTAACAAAAAAAAAAATAAAAAGGAAAAAAGCCAGACAACCTGTGTTATTTGGTGAACTTGGAAGCAACTCAACTAGCAGTCATACCTATACCAAGAGGAAATGAACATGGCTGAGCAAAAGCAAAAGAGTTTCTGCAACATTAAGCTTTGTATAATCAAATTGGAGAAGTCGCTGACTTTCAGAGGAACCAACATGTTCAACTGACCTTGCCCCTAAAAAACTGCATGGGTACTTGGACAATTAATGCCTTTTTAGCAAGGGCAGTATCCTTAGGAAGGGGTTACATCAAGGACTCTTTTCGAAGCGACTCATTTAGTAAGCAGTATTTCAGCGATCAATACTAGGATTTCAATTATTAGCTTACGAGACCAATAACTTTAATGACAACCATATAGAGTCATAGACTGGTTTGGGTTGGAAGGGACCTCACAGCCCATCCAGTCCCACCCACTGCCATGGGCAGGGACACCCTCCACTACAC